CACTTTGGAAGACAATTTGGAAGTTTCCTACAAAACCATTCAGACTTTTACTATAGAGTATAACCATTATGCTACTTCATGTTTACCCAAACAAGTAAAAACCTTAACATCTATGCAATAATCTGCACATAGTGATTTATAAAAGTTTTATTTGTAGTTGCCCAAATTTGTAGCAGTCAAGATGTTTGTCGGCTTGTGACCAGTTAGATAAACTGTGGTGCATTCAGACTATGTCACTAAAACTAAAGTCCTGTCCTGTAGCTGTGACCTTACTACTTCAAATGGGCATAACTCGAACACATTTTGTATGGTAAAGGGTCCATACATATATGCATGGTGAATACTTTATATGACATTCTAAAGCAAGGCAAAAGTGTCAGATAATAAAATGTTGGCAGTAACTAGCACTCAGAAGGAAGTACGACATGAACATAAGGAGCAAGGGGAATTTTTCAGTGAAATGATGTGATTAGATAATTTTGAATATATATTATGAATTTGTCAAAAACCACATAATATACAACACCAAGAGTGAATTATAACGTTAGCTATGGGGGCCGGATTTTGGTGGCGCACACCCTTAATCCCAGAACTCAGGAGGCAGAGGCAGGGGGATCTCTGTGAGTTTGAGACCAGCCTGGTCTACAGAGCAAGATCCAGGACAGGCTCCAAAGCCACACAGAGAAACCCTTTCTCAAAAAACAAAACCAAACAAACAAACAAACAAACAAACAAACTATGGACTTTAAGGTGTGATGTAATGATATGTAAAGACATATTTAATAATTATAACAAATCTATCACTATGGTGTGGGATGTTGATATCAGGGAGGTTGTGAATGTCTAGGAATAGAAGTTACATAGCAACATTGTACATTTTGCTCAGTTTTTTTATAAACTTAAAACTGCTCTAAAATAAAGTCAGTTTCCAACAAAATCATATGAGAGACTCCGCCCCATTCTTTTCTCTTGAATTTAAGAACTGGATGCAAGGGGCCAAGGAGCCAGGACATTTTTTTTTAATTTGAATTAGAAAGAAGATTGCTTTACATGTCAATCCCAGTTCTCACTCTCTCCCCTCCTCCCCTTCTGCTCCCCAGGGAGGGTGAAGCCTTCCATATGGGGTCTTCAGAGTCTGTAATATCCTATGGGATAGGGCCTAGGCCCCCCTGTGTGCCAGGACATTTGTTTAATCATATATTTATTTGTGAGTTGTCGTGTCAGTTCTCTCACTGTACCTTATTTAATGTCTAGCAGGGTCTGGGACTTCCTATTTCTTGACCTAAAGTCTTTCTGTGTTTGTGTGTGTGTGTGTGTGTGTGTGTGTGTGTGTGTGTGTGTGTGTGTGTGTGTGTAAAATCCTGCACCTTTAATGTAGCCCTCATTCATGAAAATGAAGGGGACTAACCTTAGAAAACATCCTTGCTTTCTAAGATGTGTTAGACAAGGGCTAATGAGACATCTTGTTCAGCAAAGCATTTGCCTTGAAAGGCTGTGAAACTGAAATTTCAGTTCCCAGAAGCTGAATGCAGTGATGTGTTCTTGTAATTCTAGCACTGGGCTGGCACACATGCAGATCTCAGGGGCTTCTTGGCCAGCCAGTCCTTTGCAAATTCTAAGCCAGTGAGAGACCCTGGGAACTCAAAACAAGTGGCTAGTGCCTGACAACAAACAACAACCACTGTTGACCTCTGATCTCCTCACACACCTATCCTCACCCCCACCCCCCCACCCCCCCCCCCCCACCCCGATGCACACAAACAGCAATTTTTTTGTTGGATTTCTCAATGGGACTCTTAAGTCAGGATCCTAAATCTAACTACCAGTAGGGCCAACACTTTGCTAAGCAGGGTGTGAGGTTGGAACATCTGAGAGAATTCTATGGGGTCTCGCCGACAGAGGTTTGGGAATTTTAGCACTATTCAGAACTTTATACCTGCCATACCTTAAAAATCCTCCACCTCAAGGTCTGAGCCACCCAAGTCTGAGGCTAAGGTTTTTATCTTCCAGAGACCTCCAAAGGAGAAACTAGCCCACCTCAGTTGAGGCTGTCTGGGAACTCCGAGCTGACCACAGGGTCAGGATGCTATAAACTACATTAGTCTGGATGAGTGCTTCTCTACTTCCTCATCAGGGTCTTCAATTTCTCATGGATTTCAGAGACTATCCCTACTAATGTTATGCAATTCTACTTTGGGTAAGGCAGACCCTGAGAGCCTTTAGCGTTGGGGTAGCTGATCCTCTGGCTGGCAGCCCTGCCTGACATGTTCTTTATTTTGTGTTATTATAATGATCTCATAAATTTTATTCATGTTCCTAGATCACAGAGTCACTGGGAAACACCAAATTCCTAAAACTGATCAGTTTCTCTGTACTATAGGAAAATCATAACACAAGGCAGGGACCTCGGACAGATGTGTCTTCAGAAAAATACAGGCTTGTTCTTTTCTCTTTTTATTACAAGTCAGATTTAGCCTCATATGTTTACATTAAAAAGTTATATATTTTTTAAAAAGATATTTGCAGCATGATGAAATATGAGTGCATATCATATGAGTGTATCTGATTTGCATATGTAATCAAGCTTTCACCAATATTTTCTCTCTTTCCTTCATTTCTTTCCTCCACATCTCAGATTTTTTTATTGCTTTAGTTATATATCTAAATCTAGTGGGTTAGACACAAAATATTTCTTTAGAAAAAAAATATCAGGATCCTTCACTAAGGTCTAGCCTAGAATAACCACTTTATTCTATCCTCTGTGGACCCTCCCCAATACCCAACTTCTAGCCTGGGTCCTTGTTAGCCTAGTCTTGTCACCCCTGCCTGAACTGTTCCCCAAAGTCTACATTTCTGCCAAGAACTGCCTGACACCACATCCAACCTCTTGGCCAAACCAGATCGTGAACAGCTTTTTCCAGGGTCCAGGACATGTCCTACCTTCTCACAATCTAAAGGCCCCTTCTGAGCCACATCCAACCTGCTAACTCAGCCATATCCTGCACATCGTTCACCAGCTGAGTCTGCCTCATCCGACAGACCCTCTCCAGTCTCCTACATCTATCACCAAACTCCAGACTTGGACCAGGGCATATATCCTGCATGACAGTCTAGCCCATGTCCACCCGAGTCTATTCTAACTAAACCTTATCCGATATTTAGGCCCAGTCTTCTCAGTACATCTTGGGTCCAGGAACCGAGTTGATGTCGCTATCCTAATATCTCTTTCTACTTCAGACCAATGGCCTTTTTCCAAGACCTGTAGCTTACCAGATGTGTGAAACTGAGCATTATCAAAATCTGTGAACTTCAGACTTTTCATATGTAAAGTGATTATGATAATCCCTGTCTTGTAGGGATGCTCAAGTGTGTATAAGATATGTAACATTATGTAAATAGTCTTTAAAATACCAATTCTTGTTATGATTCCTTTTCCTTTGATGTTACAGTGACCACTCTCCTTTTAAAGCCAGAAGCCATAGTAGAAATTATATCACATTTCAGGACAAAGAAAACACTATCAGATAAAGTGCTACTTAGCAAGGAAAACTAAGTACTATGTTTTCCTATGAAAAATCAATTTTAGTGTGAGGTCGATTCCCCTCAGTTGAGACAGCACAATGTTATTTTAATTGTACTTCAAAGACTCAAAAACTTCCCTTCCTTTGAGCTGCCATTCCAGTTAATCCATTTTAAATTTTATTCCTTTAACCCCTACTGAAAATGTTTGAAAGTTGCCAAATTGCACCCAGTGTAACCCAATTAATGCCCTTGTAAGAAGCATGCTCTGGATTCCCCAGCCCATGGCAGAGCACAGCATAGTGTCTTCTAGGCGTCCATCCTACCTTCATTGAGGGTGTCACTCATTTCTCAGACTCTGTGTATAGAACACTCAGGTTGTTCAGCACTCTTTAACTCCTGGCACAGGCTTACAGGATACTTGTATCCCCTGCTTGCTTTCTCACAACTCCCCCAAATAAATAATAAAGGTATTTTCCCTTTCCCAGCTCCATTTCTCAATTCTGAAGGTCACTCCCACATCCTAAACTAGCCCAACTGGAAGCCTCATATAAATTATTTCCCATGGGAAGGTCTGAAGTTTCCTAAGACCCAACTTGGCATTAATCAAATAATTCTCATTTCATTACTTTCTTGTAAAATTCCCTTCCTAGTTGGGCAGTGGTGGCACAGGCCTTTAATTCAAGCACTTGGGAGGCAAAGGCAGGAGGATTTCTGAATTCAAGGTCAGCAAAGGCTACAGAGAGAAATCCTGCCTCAAAACAACAAACAAACAAATCCAACAACAACAACAAAAAAAACAATTTCTTCCCTCCATTAATTATATTGGCAACTTAACTATATCTTCTTTATCTTATCCCTCCAGTACTTGCATGGAGCCTTCTAAGAGTATATAGTCAAATGAAGTTTAGGGAACAAGTAAATATATGAGCATTTGGGCCTAACTGAGTATTACTTAAGTCCACATTTTTAATTAAAAATTTCCATACTATAAATTTTGATTGCATTGCTTCCCCTATTCAACCTCTTCCCAGGTAAATGAAGCAAAGACATTTACTTAACTCTTTTTATTTTATCAAATACAGAGAAAAAGTTTTAATGCAAATATTAACCACTTCACCATCTTTTCTGTTTCTCTATGTCATTTATTTTTAACCACTGAGCTATCTCACCAGCTTACTATGTCATTTATTTTTACTGTTGAATTATTTTCAAGTAATTTTAAAGAAATGCTTATCACTATCTTATCTTGGAGTAAATTAGCTAATACAAGTTTTTCTAACTTCTTTTATAATGAAACTCTTACTTTTAACAAGCGATGAACATGTTTGTTGAATTAATCATATTGATAGATAAAAAGAACATTTGAAAAATTAAAATTGAACAAAATGCAGATAACTTTCCAAATTGCTCACACAGAACAGGAACACAAAGCTATTCACCACGTTCCCTCTAGTTACAAACAGTCCTTCACCACCTCTTTCATGCACTGTCCTCTTGAAGTACAAAGTAAAGTCAAAACAAACGCTAACCCCACTAGGTGTGGGAGGACCTGTTTGACATGGCTGTGGGACATTCAACCGGTATGGGTTAATGTGTCACTGAATGTAATTGCAGCTCTAGCTTTTTCTTCCTCATCTTTCAAAGCTTCATCATACCAGGACTGGAAGGCACTGGGAACTGTATGGTTGATCTTAGCCCAGAACTCCAGGACTTTCATCTTGCTTGTCTCTGCATGAGATCTTGGGCCCCACAGAAATTCATAGCTTGCAGGATGGCTGTTAGGTACTCTCCGGTATTCCAGGTATTTAAGCTTCACTAAATCTTTAGTGATAAGCTTCCTGGGCTCCCCAAAAATGAAATGCTTCTTTCCATCATATATTTTCATCTTATTCAGGAATTCCCAGATGTTTTCCTCAGCGGCACAGTTTCCTTTCAGGAATATCACACCTAGGAGGTTCATTAGCAGGCCAGTCTTGGGGAATCCCCTGCCTCTACTTACAGTGCCATTGTTAGGAAGATTCATTTTGCTTACAAGAATGTAGGAATGCTTTAAAGAATCTACTTCCTTTAAGTCTACACCAAACACCACCTCTATGTTGAAAGAAGCTTTTCGAAGGATCTCAAAGAAGCGTTTTCTATGCTCTTTGGTGATCATCTTCAACACATCTGCTTTCAGAATGGGTCTTTTCATTTCATACATGTGCATCATATACTTCACTACCACCTGGACTGTATTAATGATAGAGCTTTTAGGTTGCTTCACCGTAGAGGATGAGGCCTGGGAAGCACGTGGTTTTCTCTTAACTACTTTGTTAGCCCTTCCATATGATCTTGTAGTAGAAACACTCTTAGATTCAGTGGTAGCAAAGGCTTTCTGAGGCACCTTGGAAGTGCTTTGCCGCCCACGAGATGGTTTTTTATGGGTAGTAACCCCCAAATAATGAGAAGATGAATGGGGAGATCTTTTATCCTCTGTTTCAGGGGCCTGACCACTCTGGGGATCCTGTGTCTCACCTTCAGTCTGGTGGCATTTTTCTTGGGCTTGGAGCTTACTCTTCTGACCCCGAGGCATGATGATCTCGTTCAGAAACAACAAGCTGGAGTGTAGACTAGCAAGCCAGTGAAGCAGTCACCTGGAGAGAGAACAGGATTGCATAAGCACCTCCAGCACAGAAACAGATACAACTCTTGGCTTAAGGAGTCTACCTTTGCAGATGTTACAAGTACTGTCCTAAGAACTCAGTGGGCCCCTGTTCTCATCAGCCTGTCCTCTGATAACCATATGGAACTAATTAAAGTGTGCTTTCAACTGCAGCCTGTCACCCCTGTCTGGTGTGCACTAGGAATGCAAATGGTGGTGACAGGCTTAATTCTGGTGAACCCCTTTTCCTCAAGGGATAGAAGATCTCTCAGCTTCAAAGGCAGTGCTATTATCATATCAAATTGGTAGCGGTGCCTGGGCCCCTTCCTGTACTGCACTAATTTTTGATAACTCCATCTAATGCTCTCATTCACTTTCTTGGGCTCCTAAAATGAAATGAAAGAACACCTGAGCCCTCAACACTTTCTGTGGGTCACTCAGTTCTAAGAGCTGACACATGCTCACCGAGGTCCTCAGTCCTCATTCAAGGTCCTCACTGTGTCTTTAGATAGGACCCGATGCTCCTCCCTTCACATTAAAGACTTAGTAGGCTAAGATCACAAAAAAGGAAGTATACACGCTAACTGATCTCTAAGCCTAGGCTCCTCAGAGCTGTAAACCAGGTATGGGAGAAGGGATTCTGTCATGGTCTCTTTCTGGTAGGGAAATTAAGTAGCACGAGTCCTCTTTTAGGATTTTGACCTAGAGTCTGGTAATGTTTTGGGTCTCCTATGGAGAACTGGGGTGTACAACAAATTTAACTTAACCTCTCTTGGAGTAAAGAAACTGATAAATAATGACCTATTTCTGAAGATGACCGTGACTAAGGCGAAGAGTAGAATACATGAGAATGCATTTTTTGTACAGTTGTTTTTTCTTAGTCATCATTCAAGTTTCTGACCTTGACCACCCACCAGTCCCAAACATTGTGCCTCAGAACAAGGTCTTGGACAGGTGAGTCAGAGTCCCCAAATATCCTTGGCCTGAATCCTCAGAGAAATGAGTGCAGGGATACTGCTCTGCATTTTCGTCTCAACTGGAAAAAGATCCTCCAGTCAGGATGGAGAACCTTGAACTTGACTGCACTTAATGCCCAGGAAGTATTCTGCTCACTGAGTCCACTGGTTGTTCTGTTAGGTAACACTTTCCTTTCTGAGACTTTCTGTGCAAAACTTAGTGTGAAAGGTTTACTGGGACCACACAGGGCTAAGGTGACCCCATAGGGTATACAGTTTTAGTGGGACCCTATAGATTATGAGACTGAAACGGATCTCCTAAATCCAAATCTTAAATCCATATGATTCCTAGAAATTCATCTCTAATTGATTAGACAGATGCTGAGTCTTTCTTCCAAGGTCTGGCATCACAAGAGAAATTAGGATGACCTACATCCTACCACTGTTGTACAGGGTTTCTCCATACTGGCAATAGGGGTGTGTTGCTAAGGAACCTCACTATTATAGAATAAACGCTTTTTAGATCCTCAACATATCAAATACAGCCAGGGATGCTATGCCGTTCTGACCTGAGTAATGTAAACTTGAAATGAAGCCTGGACCTTTTTTAGTCACCATTAGAAGTAACATATTCAAATCTCAATGGGCTAAGCACTGTAAAAATTCTTGGATGTGACAGGAGGTAGAGGACTCTCTGAGACTCGATATTTTGGAGATGTGTCCTTTAATCATCACTCCGAGTTTCTCAACTGACTTTAACTAAGACCCCTCCCTTACAGAACCAGTAGCCTACCCATTATATCCCATTATGTTGTTTTCTGTGACTATCCAGGCACAAACGACGGACACTTCAATCATAGAATTCTGTCTACTGAATGATTTCTCTGCATCCTAGGATCCCTCCTTCTAGCTACACTAGTTCGTTAGCCACAAATATCTTCTTCTCCTTCCTTGGTCCTCTGAGTGAAAATCTAGACACACTAAGACAAAAGAACAGTTTTCTCTGGGTCCTCACAGGACTGGAAATGGAGTTGGGTCTTTTGATATTTATCTCCTCTTTTAAGGAGTGTACTGGCAGACCAAAGGATACCTCACTATACTGACTGAAGTCCCTCAGCTGCCAAGTGAAGCCACATATTTCCCAATAGGAAGTAGGCAAGACTCATATGGTGCTTATGGCTGAAAACTCTCAGCCCAGCTAGGGACAGAGATTTGAGAGGATCTTTGTTTAGGGAACAATTCCTGTACTCTCATCCTCACAAGGGCCTATCTGCTTTACTTTGGTTTTCAACAAGAACTCCCTGTACTGGAACTGGGGTCCCTACCCATTATATTCTATTAGGTTATTTGCTGTGACCTTCCATGCAGAAATGAGGAGCACCACAAACTTCTGTTCATGGGCTTAACAGAGTGGATTCAGTGGACCAAGAATCCTCCCTGTAAGGAATCAAGGATTCCACCTTCAAATACAGCGTTCACCTTGCTTAGTTCTTACACCAGAAATCTAGACGTGTATAAACTAATTCTATAACACCCAGACAAATAGGAAACAGAGCAGAATCTTTTGATAGTCCCCCACCTCGCACCTCCACTTTTAGTAGTCTAGTAGAGCTAGAAATTCCTCGTATTACTGACCTGAATCACAGACCTCCTAAACGATGTTTCACCTCCCTCAATCAGCAGACGAAACCGGCACAAGAAGATGCCTCCCAATGTCCGTTAACAGGGCCTAGGCAAAGACAGGACTCCAGTTAGCTGTCAGGACCTAGGCGAAGCCACGCCTCCCACAGTCAGCTAACAGGACCTGCGCAAGCGCACATCTCCCTATGTCCGTTAATAGGGCCCAGGCGAAGCCACGCCTCCCTCAGTCAATTTATAGAACCTGCGCAAGCGCACATTTCCCTATGTCAGTTAACAGGGCCCAGGCGAAGCCACGCCTCCCTCAGTCAATTTATAGAACCTGCGCAAGCGCACATTTCCCTATGTCAGTTAACAGGGCCCAGGCGAAGCCATGACTCCCTCAGTCAATTTACAGCACCTGCGCAGGCGCACATCTCCGTATATCCGTTAACAGGGCCTAGGCGAAGCCACGCCTCCCTCAGGCAGGTTACAGGACCTGCGCAGGCGCACATCTCCGTATATCCGTTAACAGGGCCTAGGCGAAGCCACGCCTCCCTCAGGCAGGTTACAGGACCTGCGCAGGCGCACATCTCCGTATATCCGTTAACAGGGCCTAGGCGAAGCCACGCCTCCCTCAGGCAGGTTACAGGACCTGCGCAGGCGCACATCTCCGTATATCCGTTAACAGGGCCTAGGCGAAGCCACGCCTCCCTCAGGCAGGTTACAGGACCTGCGCAGGCGCACATCTCCGTATATCCGTTAACAGGGCCTAGGCGAAGCCACGCCTCCCTCAGGCAGGTTACAGGACCTGCGCAGGCGCACATCTCCGTATATCCGTTAACAGGGCCTAGGCGAAGCCACGCCTCCCTCAGGCAGGTTACAGGACCTGCGCAGGCGCACATCTCCGTATATCCGTTAACAGGGCCTAGGCGAAGCCACGCCTCCCTCAGGCAGGTTACAGGACCTGCGCAGGCGCACATCTCCGTATATCCGTTAACAGGGCCTAGGCGAAGCCACGCCTCCCTCAGGCAGGTTACAGGACCTGCGCAGGCGCACATCTCCGTATATCCGTTAACAGGGCCTAGGCGAAGCCACGCCTCCCTCAGGCAGGTTACAGGACCTGCGCAGGCGCACATCTCCGTATATCCGTTAACAGGGCCTAGGCGAAGCCACGCCTCCCTCAGGCAGGTTACAGGACCTGCGCAAGCACACATCTCCCTATGTCAGTTAACAGGACCTAGGCGAAGCCACGCCTCCCTCAGTCAGGTTACAGGACCTGCGCAGGCGCACATCTCCCTATGTCAGTTAACAGGGCC